CACAAAATATTATATATATATATATATATATTTACAAAATATTATATATATGTATGTGTGTATATATGTGTGTATGTATATATGTATTATACATACATATATGTATATATGTGTATATACATGTATATATGTATACACACACACACACACACACACACACACACACACACACATATATATATAAATAAAATCACAGTACCTGGCACATAGCAGGTACTATATAAATGCCTGTGCCCTTCTCCCTCCTAATCTTACCTTGGTGAGCTCCCCACTTTCTATAAAATGGCAGGATCAAAAGATCCCAGACCTATAAGGGCCTTTATAGATCATCTAATTTACCCTACTACAGAAATTAAGCAACTTGCCTAGGGTCACACAGTTAGTGTCTGAGCCAGTATTTGCACTTACGTGTTCTGATTCTTACTAGCTGTGTGACCCTAGGCAAGTCATGTAACCTTGTTTGCCTCAGTTTCCCCAGGTGGAAAATGAGCTGGAGAAAGGCAATGATAAACCACTCCAGTATCTTTGCCAAGAAAATCCCAAATGGGGTCATGAAGTCAGACGCAAGTGAAATGACTGAACAACAACTTCTGATTCCAAATCCAGCACTCTTTATACTATACTTGCTCTTATAATGAATTGTCCAATAGAATGTAAGCTCCTTGAGGACAGTGAGGATAGAGTGTTGCACTTGCACTCAAGAAGTCCTGATTTTGACTCTAGCCTCAGACATTTAGTAGCTGTATGATTCTGGGTAAGTCACTTGCCCTTTTTTTTAGCCTTAGTTTCCTCATCTGTAAAATGGGGGTAATAAGCACCTACCTCAAAGGTTTTTTGTGAAGATCAAATGAGGTAATATATAATGAGCCCTTCGAAAACTTAAGAGTTACAAAAATGTTAGCTCTTGTTATTATCATTTGTATCCCCAGTGCCTGGATGCAGTAGGCACTTAATAAATGCTTGTGGGTTGACAGATTGCTCAAGGTCATATAGAAAGTACTAAGTAATACCAAAATGCCTTCTAGTGACTAAAGGACTCTCAGTTTGTTTAGGAGTTCAGTGGAATAACCCTCAGCAGGTCCCTTATTCAATGCCAAACCAAACAGTTACTTAGCTATGTAACTATTCACTGACTCTATTCTTTTCTCTTTATCATGTACTTGGCTTCCCCAGGATGCTTTCTAAGTACAATTTTTGTTGCTTTTGATGTCGTTGCAGTAATGTGGTTCTTTTGAAACTAAAAGCAACAGAGACAGGAAATTCAAAGCTAAGCTTTACTTTATACAGCCTGGGCCTCCTAATGTATTCACATTTAATGTGTTCCTGTTTTACAGCACAAATTTAACTGTGGTTAGCTGTAGTGCAATATAAGATATTTATGTCTGTGTAAAAGTGAAGCCACCCAGCTCTTAACATCTATCAGGAAGGGAGAGTTACAGTCAAGCTGCCTTCTCTGGAGAGTTTGTTTTCCACTGTGCATTTGTGGGTTTCTTTCTTTCTTTCTTTCTTTCTTTCTTTCTTTCTTTCTTTCTTTCTTTCTTTCTTTCTTTCTTTCTTTCTTCTTTCTTTCTTTCTTTCTTCTCTTCTTTCTCTCTTCTCTCTCTTCTCTTTCTCTCTCTCTCTCTCTCTCTCTCTCTCTCTCTCTTCCTTCCCTTCTTTCTCTCTTTCTTTTTTATCATAGTAGTGACTAACACAGAAGCATTCAGACCTTGGTGCCCAATATTATTGAAGTCTAATGTCCAAGTACAGTAATGAATTTATAAGGCCTCCATTTTAAGTCATCATTTTCAAGGTACCATCATTTAACTCTCAATGATTAGGTCAAGAATTCCAAGAACCTACTTGACCTCGGATAGGCAGTTAGGTGGCCCATTGGACAGAGCACTAGCCCTGGAGTCAGGAATACCCGAGTTCAAATCCAGCCTCAGATAACCTCCTAGCTGTATTACTCAACCTTAACCTTAGACTTAATCTTTGTTTACCTCAGTTTCCTCATCTGTAAAATGGAGATAATAATGCAACCTATCTCTCAGGGTTGTTGAGAATCAAATGAGATTATATATGTTTATATCTATACACATAAACACATATATAATTTAACACATGGCACATAGTAGGCACTTAACAAAAGCTTGTTGCCTTCCTTTCCCCTAAAGCTCTTTGCACACCTTAAAGTGCTATATAAATGCTAGTTATTATGATGGTATTATCTGATCACGTCTGTTGCTTCTAGAAAACATCAACCCACAATGAACATCTTCAGACTTAGACACAAACAAAATCACAGCCTCATAGAATTAGTCCTGGAAAGCGCCTCAGAGTGCTAGACCAACTCTCTTATTTTACAAATGAGGAAACTAAGGTCCAGAAAGGGTAATGCATAGTAAACAACAGAGTAGGAATTTATTATAATCAGTGACTGCCAAGCCAAAGGATGGTGACTTCCCTGAAGGACAGAATAACAAGAGTTGCTTTCTCTGGAGTGTTTTAGAATTTGCAAATTGCTGTTCCATGTACTTTGTACAGCAATCTTGTGAAGTATATGTTAGAGATATTTTTATCTCCATTATATAGGTGGGCAAACTGAGACTCCATGAAGTTACCTTAGAACACACAGCTAATAAGTATCTAAGGCAGGATTTGAACCTAGAACTCTCTGACTATAAGTTCAGCTGTATTCAATGTATTCATACTATTGCCCTCAAAAAATATGAGGATTTTCATCAAATCTCCATTTTGTTGTGTTTACAGAATCATAGGATCATTTATTTGGAGTTAGGAGGAATCTTAGAAGTCAATCTGTTAGTTCAATCCACTCATTTCACAGATAAGGAAACCAAGACCTAGAGAGGCCCAAGTTTATACATTAGCAAGTGGCAGAGCTAGGATTTGAACCCAGGTCTTCTAACCTCATAGCTCATGCACTTTTTATTGCATTACAATGCTTCTCATAGGTACATTATAGTTTAGTCAATTCTAATTTTGGACTTCCTATTTTAATAATACTTTTACTCTGGTCTCTTGGTTTTTAAGCAGATGGCTGCACAAATGAGAGTAGTCTACACAGTCCATGACTAAATGAGCAGAATTGTCTTCAAATAGAAAGATACATTGATTATTACATATATTTAAATAACCTTACAACTATTAACACTTTTTGTTGTTATAGGATACTTGGAATTAGAATGTTAAAATTCAATTTGATTTAATAAACGTTTATTAAATACTTACTGTGTGTCAAGAGCTGTGCTAGGAATGGGGATAAAAAAGACAAAAATGTCTTCAAGGAGCTTATTGTTCAGTCATTTCAGTCATGTCTGACTCTCTGTGACCCCATTTGGGGTTTTCTTGGCAAAGATACTGCAGTGGTTTGCCATTTCCTTCTGCCGTTCATTTTATAGAAGAGGAAACTGAGGCAAACAAGGTTAAATATCTTGCACAGGGTCACACGACCAGTAAGTATTTGAGATCATATTTGAACTCAGGTCTTCCTAACTGCAGGCCTAGCACTCTATCCACTGTGCCACCTAGCTGCTCCCATGTTCTAGCAGATCTCAGAAGTAAAAGTTTCACAACTGGTTCTGCTAGCTGGGTGACCAGTGGCAAACCCCTGAACCTTAGTTTTTTTGTTCCTTCATCTTTGTCATGGTCAGACTTTCTATCTGGTGCCACTTGGTGATCAATTTGTAGAGGATCGCATCAGGGAAGGAAGGCATCTCCAGGCCTCAGATGATACAAAAAAGCACACAGACATTGAGCTTTTCAGAATTTCTTTTAGAAGAAATTAAGAATGCCAGCACATGAGGAAAGAGGCCTCCCTAAAAATAGGCTTCTTGGCTGCTGCCCATCCATATGCACATGCAGATGAGTTACAATAGAACTGATTTCCATGCTTTCAGCAGGTTGTTATAAATAGCAGATGTGGAAAAAAAATGTGGTTGCTTTGCAAAATACCTAGGGAGCTGTCTTTTCAAGTTGGCCTCCTTGGGCTTGCGTATTCATCAAAAGACATTTTCACAGCTTCCTATACCATTCTTAACTTTGCCCACCCAGAGGCTGAAGAGGAGGAGAAACATATGAGTGCCACTTCTGGGGTAGAAGCTGCTTCTTGTGTGTACAAATCATACGCTCCTAGGATTTAGAGCCACAAGGGATCTTCTAAAGTCTGTCTAGTGCAGCTCCCTCAGATGATTGCTGTCCATGCAGGTGCCTTAGGGAGATGTGGTTCAGGAGAAAGGGCACGTGTTCTGGACCAGAGGACCTAGTGCCTTCCCTCTGAGGTTGGCTGCCTCTCCTTTACACTGCATGTATTATGGAAGCACAGTTGTTTTCACATTGTCTCCTCCAATAGATTGTGAGCTCCTTGAAGGCAGGGGCTGGGTTTTTAACTTCCTTGGTGTCCCCTACAAGGCAGAGCTCTTGGCACAAAAATGCTGGTTGACTGACCTAGGTTCAAATTCTACCTCTGATACTTGTGTGACCTTGGATAAGTCATTAAAATTTCCCTGAGCCTCAGTTTCTTCAACTATAGAATGAAGGGTTTGGGCTAGACAGCCTCTGAGCTCTCTGCCAGCACCAGGTCTATGAGCCAATGGAATCCTGTAACCTGAACCCTGGGAGGAAGGTTTCCATGGCAACAAATCCCACTGGCCAGCTGGGGATGCTCTTAACACACACTCAGAGGGTCAGCAGGGAAGAAAGGTTCAGACCAACTCATACTGTCCTCCTATGACTTGCTACAAATTTCAAATTTCCTTTGAAAAATAGCCAGAATTTAGCTTTAAAAAAGAATCACTGGATACTGATTTCATTTAGGTGCCAAGAAGCCTGAAGACACCAGAAGAAATGAAAGGGCATGAAGTTTAAAAAAAAAATCCTCTGAAAGGTTCAGAAGTCTCTGCTTCTTTGGGTGAAGTTCTAGATCTGAAAAGTGAATGAGGAAACCCAGAGCAGCAGCAACAGTAGAGCATGAGCTGCTTGTAGGTCAGAGGTCAGCCTACCTGCAGGAGGATGGCCCCCTTTCAGAGGCAGGAGGATGACTTTTACTTCATTTGCCATAGTATGGGTTGTAGCTGCTGCTCCTACTGGTCCTTATTGCTTCTGCTGAGTGCCTGGGTAGCACTTTCTCCTCTGCACCCTCCTTTTATACTGGCAGTGAAAAGGGCCCTTTAAGGGCATTGCAGAGCAGCAACAGGTTTTGGCCACCCTGTGCTCTCAGGGGGAAGTAGGGCCTTACAGATTTCCTTCAGGCTTGCAAATGTCTGCTGCCAGTTCTTTGCAGAGGTAGGGTAGAAGTCTTAGCAGACAAGAAGAGTGCTCTTCTTAAGGGAAGGAGAAAGGAAGACTGGATAGAGTTTCTTGGGCTTCTTTTGCTCAACCATGAGAGAAAGAAGAGCTAAAGGGGAATCCACCTTGTTGCTGTCAAGGTGGCAGCAATGATTTTATAGGTGGGGACAGGGGTGGGTTATAGGGAAGAATTTCTTTCTTTTTTTTTTTTTGTGGGAAGAGGTCTGGCCTTGTGATTTCAGCAGTGTGGAGAGCTCCATGATGCTGATCAGAAACTTGTCTCTAATTTATAATATTTAAAAAATTAACAAGCATTTATTTTCTCTCCCTGCCCTTGTTCCTCTCTCTATCCTCCCCTCCTCCCAAATGAACAATAACAACAACAAAAATAAAACCCTCAAAACAACTGTGCATAGTCAATAAAGAAAATTCCCCCATTGGACATGACAAAGAATTATATCTCATTCTGTATTTTATACTCATCATTTCTCTGTCAGCTAGTGCATAGCATGCTTAATCATCAGTCCTCTGGAATCATGTTTTTTCATTGCATTGATCTGAGTTCTTGAGTCTTTCAAAGTTGTTTTTCTCTATATTTCTAACATATATTAGAGAGTTGCCTATGGAACTTCATGGTTAAGTGACTTGCCTAGGGTCACACAGCTAGTATTTGTCAAGCACAGGGCTTATATCTAGGCCTTCCTGTTTCAAAGACTTGTCTTCTGTTCCCTATGCTGTACTGTCATTCAGAAAAGACCCTTGTCCAATGTTTGCCTCCTAATCTTATAAGTTGCCCCCACGTGGGTAGCAAAGAATTAGAAATTAAGGACATGACCATCAATTGGAGAATGACTGAACAAGTTGTAGAATATGTTGTGATGGAATATTATTGTACTGTAAGAAATGATGAAAGGAATGGTTTCAGAAAAACCTGAGAAGACTTACGAGTTGATGCAAAATGAGGTGTGTAGAACACAGTAACACCAATATTATAATGACAATCAACTATGAAAGACTTAGCCACTCTGATCAGTATAATGATCCATGACAGCTCCAAAGGACTCAAGAGTCTCTCCTCCAGAGAGAGAATGAATGAACTCTGAGTGCAGATTGAAACATTTTTTCATTTTTTTTCTTTGCAACATGGCTAATATAGGAATATGTTTTGCATGACTTCACATGTATAATGAGTATAGTATTTCTTGCCTTCTCAATGGGGGGATGGGTTAGGGAGGGGAAGAATATTGATCTGAAAATAAAAATTTAAAATAAAAAAAAAGCTGCCTCCACCTGGAGGCTTACAGTAGTTGTAGTCTCCTTATTCAAATGAGGCCTGGCAGGAAAGAGAGCAGGAAAGTTTAGGGCCTTTTGCATGCTCAGTTCTGACACAGAAGCCAGTAGTAAGCAGTTTGGAAACAGTACAGTCATAGAATATCAAAGCTTGATCCAAAGTCCATGTAGGGGATTGCATCAAGCCTATGCATGCTCATAGGGGCTGGGTTCTCATTGGCCAGTCCCCTGTTACCTTGCAAATATCATTGTATTTATACCTCCTCTGCCTAGTCCCATGCTTTGCCCAGAATAGGAGCCTAATAAATGCTTGCTGATTGATGACTGTCTCCTTGAGAGGGATAATTTCTTGGTCTTGTTGTTATTTATTTTTCCATTTAGGAAAAAGGAATTGTAATGGGGATAATCTTTAAAGGGGCTAATCTATGGTTATTTATGGTAATGGAAAAGAGATAGAGAGTATGTGATGAAGTAGAGGGATAGAGGAGCAGGGAGCCCTGAGAGTTAAATAAGATCGGGAGTAAACTCAGACCCTTCAATTTTACACAATAGCTTCAGCTTTCCCTTTCACTGAACTCTTTAATCAGAGCCACTAACAAGGAAGAATATGGACTGATTGGGCTTCCATTACCTTTCATTTTCTCTGCCTACCCTCTGATGAGCAGTGAAATGATCAAAAGACTGGCAGCAGGAATATGAAAGAGAAGCAAAGAGCTTATACAAAGAGGAACAATCATCCCTCTTTAATTAGGGTAACAGGAGAGGCCAGGGGGAAAAGGGGCCAGTGTCCTTTTGTTCTTTGACTATTTCCTTGAGTACCATCTTTACCCCTTCAAGGACAAGACTTAATTTTTTTTCTTTTTTATAATGAACTTAACATGTATCAACAAACAGGAGCTTTTCAATATGCAAAGAACAAAAAAGAGGATTATCTAAAAAATGGTGAACTTGTGTGCTTTTTAAAGTGTATGAGGGACCAGTAGAGACTCAGACCTTCCAACATGTGTATTGAGCTCTGACTTTCACCACTCAACCTCGGGGGCTGGATCAGCCTGCTTCTGGAAATGGGCGATGGCATATAATGGTGAATTTTCCACTTCAGAGTGCACAGGTATTCTGTGACTGTTTCCTTTATGGCAAACGAAGGCCTTTTCAGTGGGTGCTGAGTGACAACTGAGTGTGCATACAAAAGTCTCTAACAGAGGAATTTAACCTCTCTCTTTTCCCTGATGGTGAGTGAGGAAGAAATGTTGTAAGCCTTTGGGTAGAGAGAGAAATAGCAGGTGCTGCTGCTGGCAATCTTATCTCCCCACCTAGGCAGCCACGTGACGTGAATTTGTGGCACTACTGCTTTGTCCCAGTGTGTTACTTTTCTGATGTTAGGTGAAAGAATATTATAGATGAAATAGACCAGGCTATGACCTTGTAAGCATGGCAAAGTTGGCTGAGCCTTCAGAGGTTCTTATAGCAATCTGAGCTATATGGTAATCGCTGCAGGTAAGCCCAGGAAAAAGCCAGTCCTGAGGAGTAACCTCCGTGACCCAACCAGTGGATGGACTCGGCAGCTGAGACATCACATTCTGCAAGCAAGAAAGAGAGTGACTTGTTTACAGCTCTGTCACACCCAGGAGCAAACTTGGTAGGAGGAATGCTTTGTGTCTATTGCTTTGAGTTTGAACCCTCTCTTCCCAAGGACCAAGGTGGTAGAGGACAGTGTGCTTTGATTTGGAAAGAATGTTTTGTAAGTCAGCACTTTGAGTCCATTCTCCCAAGGGACAGAGGGAGAAAGGAGAGAGTATGCCCTAGCATACCCAGTGCCCTAGGGGTGATGTTTTGATACTTTGTTTCTTACAGTTTCTTCACAGTAAACAGCCCTTTGTAAAAAGTTAATTGTTAGGGGCAGCTAGGTGGCACAGTGGATATAGCACTAGCCCTGGAGTCAGCAGGACCTGAGTTCAAATATGGCTTCAGACATATAACACTCACTAGCTGTGTGACTCTGGGCAAGTCACTTAACCCCAATTGCCTCAGCAAAAGAAAAAAAAAAGAAGTTAATTGCTGTTAATTGGTTATCAGTGACATTGATGAAATAACAGGTAACAATAATCCCTGGTTGGACAATTTTGAAGAGATATTTACTGGTGATCAATATGGGGGGAGAAACATATCAGATTTGGCTTGAGAGCAAAAGTATTAGAGAAAATCCCTTAACTCCTTAGCGTTAACTCTAAAATCCTGAGGAGAGATGTAATTAAACTTTGAGGACCTATCACACTAATGTGAGTGGAAATTAGAATGATACCCCCCCAATAAGTGGGCAATATGTATGTTAAATTTAAGATGGTAGCAACAAAACTGCCATACTCATCTGTTTTCTTCTGAACTTCCTTCTACTTCCTTCTTTGTATTTTAAAATATTTCAATGAAGCACTTTTACCTTCTATTCTTTTCTTCATATCTGTCACCAGTTCTATTCCCCATCCCTTAGAAGTCCTCTCCAGTAACAAATGAGTATAATCAAGAAAAACCAACATTTTGGCTATGTCTAAAAATATATTCCTCATTCTACACTTCTAGTTCATGACTGTGTCCCCAGCACCTAGCAAAATGTATATAGAAGGCACTTAAATATTTATTGAATTAAATTGAGTTCCCTTCAGACTTTTAGTTTTAGCCTATTAGCTTCTCAATAACTTCAAGTAGGGAAGTCCCACCACTCTCTTCTTCAATGTCCAAATAGCTGCCATTGTGGTCTTGTCACTCTTAACATTTGTATCCCTAGTCTGTAAGATATATATGTGCGTGTGTGTGTGTGTATGTGTGTGTACATGTATACATACATATATAAACATATATACATGTATGTACAATACATATATAACTATAAACATACACATGCATGTATGCATAGATATATGTATATATACAGACCAGAAGGCAGGTAACTTTTGAGAGAAAGGCATAAGTGGCTGGGGAGATGGGGAAGACCTCTTATAGAAAGAGGCCTTTGAACTTCTAGGGCTGTATCCCAAAGAGATCATACAAATGGAAAAAGGACCCACACGTACAAAAATATTTGTAGCAGCTCTTTTAGTGGTGGCAAAGAATTGGAAATTGAGGGGATGCCTTATCAACTGGGGAATGGCTGAATAAGTTGTGGTATATGAATGTAATGGAATACTATTGTGCTATAAGAAATGATGAGCAGGCAGACTTCAGAAAAACCTGGAAAGACTTGTATGGTCTGATGTGAAGTGAAGTGAGCAGAACCAGGAGAACATTGTGCACAGTAACAGTTTTGTGATGACTAACTTTGATAGACTTAACCCTTCTTAGCAACAGAAGGATCTACGACATCTCCAAAGGCTTCATAATGGAAAATGTTATCCACATCCAAAGAAAGAACTATGGAGTTTGAATGCAGATCGAAGCATACTATTTGCTATTTTTTTCCTTCTGTTTTGTTTTGTTTCCTTTTTTTGGTGGTTCCTCCTATTGGTTCTAATTCTCACTTACAACATCACTAATGTGAAAA